AGAAGCTTCGAATATGGCCCACAACTGTTCTCAACCAAAAGAATTCTTGAGTTGCTTCGTGTAGGGCAAGAATTTCAGCATGGTTAGACGAAGTGACAACTAAGGTCTGTTTAGTTTACCTCCAAGAGATTGCGGTGCCTCCAATAGTAAAGACATAACCTGTTTGGGAACGCACCTTGTGCGGATCAGATAAATATCCTGCGTCGGCATAACCAACAAGGCGATAATCGACTCGAGATAAGGGGGTGTGGCATCACTCGAGGATCCGTAAGGATAGAACAAGCCCAAATTTGTAGTACCATTAAGGTAACTGAAAATGTCCTTAATACCAGTCCAATGTTTGCATGTTGGTGCATTATCGTATCTTGCCAGAAGATTAACAGCGAAGGAGATGTCGAGTATAATGTATTGAGCTAAGTACAATAAAGCGTATGTTGCACTTAGATAAGGAACTTCAGGCTCCAAAATCTCTTCATCATCCTCATTCAGATGGAAGGGATCTCGTTTTGCATCTAGTGATCGAACGACCATAGGAGTACTCGAAGGCTTCGCTTTATCCTCGTTAAAACGACGCAACACCTTTTGGGTGTGGTTCGATTAATGTACTAAGATTCTATCCGAACATGCTTTATCTCGAGACTGAGATAGTATCGAATCTTTCCTAGATCTTTAATCTCAAATTCTGACTTCAGGTGCGTGGCAGTTCTCACGAGCTCTTTAGGAGTTCTAATGAGATTCATGTTATCGACATATACTGCAACTATCGCAAAATCGGAATGTGACTTCTTAATGAACACACAAGGGTGTAGTTCGTTGTTCACATATCCCTGACTAGTCAAATACTCACTCAGACGGTTATACCACATTCTTCCAGATTGCTTCAAACCGTAGAGTGAATGCCCAATCAAATTGAGAGCGTGTTCTGGAGTTTGAAAATATTTGATCCAGTCAATGTAAGTCATTCGGTAACTTTCATATAAATTTCCGTATCAATATCCCCATAGAGATACGTAGTTACTACGTCCATCAGCTGCATACTCAGTTTTTCGGAAACTACGAAACTGATAAGGTAGCGAAAAGTAATCACATCCATAACGGGTGAATAAGTTTCGTCCTATTACTTAAATAAGCTAATCAAATGGCTTTAATTAGCAAATGCTAACCATCAGATTAGAATAATAAACAAAAGATTGTAGCCACGTATGTTTTCTGGAATTTGGGATACAATTTTCTCACGTGCCAGACCACAGAAGCTTCGATTTTAAAGCAACTCTCTCTTTAATCTTTATTTATTTGTCACTTTCTTTATCCTTTTGGAAGAAAATTAGAGACTCATTATGTGTCTCATATGTGTCACGCAAGGAACCACTGCCAACATCCCAGGGAGGAGGGGTCACAATATTCTTGTATGACATGAAGTTGAATAGGAATCCCATTACTTCATGTACAAGGGAATGAGAGTCGTGTTGTATTGCTTGTAACGACAATCGACCAAGCGCATGCTAGCGACAATTAATTATGTAAGCAAATGACAATCAATCATGCGATACAAAGTCAAAATTAGACCACCAATCCTAAATTTTCCTAAACGAATTAGTCTCCCTCTAAAAAGACTTGTGTACATGGAACATACACGTTGGAATATAGGAGTAGAAAATCATGAAGTAGGAGAAAGAATTCAATTAAAGTCCATCGACATTGTTACCCAAAATTCAAGGGTTGCAACTATCCACAACATATATGACAGTAAACGACTAGGAGTAGAAAATAATGAATTAGGAGAAAGAATTCAATTAAAGTCCATTGACATTGTTACCCAAAATTTAAGGGTTGATACTATCCACGACATATATGATAGTGAACGATTGACTAATTAATCCCTATGTTTGGCATTGCCATTTTTCTTATCATCTAGGGTTAAAGCTTGGAAGGTCGTCTATTCTAAGTCTTGTACATGACGAGATATTTATCTTCACTGGTTTCACTTAAATCGAACCAAACTGCCCACTGTCTAATAAGTTGTTCGATTGCAGTTAACTAATAGAATATATTGTATCTGTCCCTAAGTTACGTGTCCACATGATTAATGTGAACAGAAAAATATCAATTTATTTTCTTCTACATCATATATATTGAACTTTTGATTGATTATTGCAATGTAATATTGAATTGAATAGATAGATAAGGATAGAAATCTGATGGAAAAGTTTGAATCTTTGGTTTAATTTGTCCAATCAGGACGGACGTTTTGCCACGTGTTGCAAGACTAGGTGCGTTATGAGCCATTTTCTAGATGGAGATCTATATATAAACGTTAAGTTTCTTGACTGCCAAGCGAGCAAAAGTAGAAAGATAGTGATTTCTCAAAGTATTAAACACTGATGCATGTTCATTCAACTGTTTGACAACAAGATTTTCTTAGTACGACTTTCTAACATTTTCGTTTTTATTTTTTTAAGGATTTAAGACAAGGAAGAAATCTCACGAGTTGTATCATATTAAGTTGATTTAAATGTTTAATTGTTTGTATAATTGGCATGTACGAACTATAAAAAAAAATTGATATTATGTTTGGCTAATTTTTCTTTACTCAAAGCACTTGATATAAAGTAATAAAAGAAATTGAACTAGGATGATAATTCAAATTGAGTGTCAAGGGTTGATCATATTGTTTTAGACAACTTAACTAAACTTACGTATATAATTCCATGGTTAAAATGAGGCATATGAGAATTTATTTTATCTTGTCTTTTGAGTTGATAAAACTGTTCTTCATTCAATAAGTATGTGATTACCAAGTTGATAATTAATAGCAATATAAAGAGTAGCGGATAGAGTTTATTGTAGTGGTGGAAATTAATTATGTTTATGCATTCTAGTGCGGGTTTGACTCCACTGATTCTTCTTCCCTCTAATAACTAACTATTTAATCCATTTGCGTTGTCGTCTTAAAAAAAAAAAAGCAATATAAAAAGTAACTTTTCTGTGTGCCCTTCATGTAAACAGTATACCTTATTAGAACACAATTAGTATGACATATTAAGACCTCAATTCATTTGCATGACTTCTGGATTCAAATGTTCTTTCTTATTTTTTTTGTTGATTCACAACAAAATAAACCTCTCAAAGTCTTCTTCTTTCTTGTTGTCTGATAAAGATATGTAAATTATTTTCTCTATGTATATGTACAACTGAACTTGAAAACTTTTTGAGCAAAATAATGAGATATTGGAAGAGACTATTAGGCAAAAGTGTACAGAAGAAAATTGTATAGTTTGAGATAGTTCATGTGATTTTTGGGCATGACCGATCCTAGCATTGAGTAGGTAAATTTTGTGCACACGCCAACATTTGAAGGGCCTTGGGGGCAAACTATAGTCTATACTAGAATTGATGCCCGCGCGCTGTCACGGGTCAAAAACTTTGTCATGTAATTAAAAAATACATATACAAAAGGGACAAGTAAAAGAGTCCATGAATTTCCATAGTGTACCAAGTTGGTAAAAATGTACTCCGACATGACTAGCTCAAAAGGAGATTTCTCCATTTTCAATATGGTTTATAGTCTGCAAATGTAGCGTCTCATTTTCTTCAGGCCTGCATTGACTTTAAACACGTAGGACAACACCAATCGCAACTGCAAATACTAACAACTGTGCAAAGGAATTATAAAGAAAACTCATGTACCATATAAGAACAAACCTCACAGCTGGTCTTAGTAACTGTTTTTTTAAAGAGACCCATTACAATGGGTTCTGAAAGAAAACAAAACATGTACATTTTCTCTGCCAAGTAAAATCTACTGCAGGTGATGAACAAAACACAAAGTTCTCAACTTTAATTTAATTATTATCAAATATTGAAGGAAATTAACAACTACCCAGAAATGTTTGCTCAAAATTAATTGATAATATGAATAATTTAATTACACAACATCTATCTGCCAAGTGATTTACAACGGCTGATGAACAAAACCCAAAGTTCTTAGCTTAATTTGATCTCACCATTTAATTGGAAGAAATAAAAAATTACACAGAAATGTTTGCACACAATTAATTGATGAAACGACCAATTGGGCAATAAAAAATTAATGGTGCAGTGAAGACAATAAAACACGACCTACTACTCCCTCCAGCTCCGTCCCAAGGCTGCATGGCTCTCATTCACCAAACCCTCACCTAGACCCATCCCAATCCGTCCCAAACCCATAGAACAAAATAAACCTTCCAAAATTATCCTTTGTAACTCGAATCTCGTCTCACTTTATCCTTTGAAACTCAAATCTTGTCTTACTTTATCCTTTAAAACTCAAATCTTGTCTTGAACTCAAAAAGGAAAAGAAAAAAAAAAACAAGAAAGAAGAATACATTCTGTTATTGATAATTGGAAGGCCCACACCTTTGTAATTTCCAGTCCAACCCAACCCAAAAGCCAGCTCCACCCAAGCTCCAGTGTTTATAGGCCTACTAAGAGTTTGGGCCCTCAAACTCAAAGACTAATCTTTCAAGTTCAACCGCAAGAAAACTGAAATTTTCTTGACCCAAGAAAAAGAATAAACCAAAACTTGACTTGTGAATTCTTGACTTTGCTTTTTCCACAAATAATTTTTTTTAATACCTTGATAAGTTTACATTAAGAAGGGAGAGTTGGACTAAACCACACAATGTGCAACCTAATTTGGTATTGAATTCGTCATTCACGAAATTCGAACCTAAGATCTATCGCTTTCAAATGAAGAAGAATACCATCAGACCAACCTAATTTGGTATCAAATTCGTTATTCATGAAATTCAAACCTAAAATCTCTCACTTTGAGATGAAGAAGAATACCAATAAATCGGGTTTACACGTTCAAATTTGAACGATGAAAAGTTGAAAGAAACGATGAAAAGTTGAAAGAAAATCAAAAGAGGCTAAAAACACAAAAAGCGAAAGAGTGCGGTGGCGGTCAGGCACTGGTTGTTGTGGTACCAAATGGCCCCTCCATAGCTTTCTCTCTCCATTTTCAGGCGGTCACTCCACCCTTTCCATTTCCATCTCTCTCTTCTGCGTTTGTCAGCTTGAGAACTCCGCAGGGCTTTCTTCATTTTCTTTCTGTAAGAGGATTAAAAGGAAGGAAGAAAGAGATGGAGGGTGCGCAAAAAGAAGGGATTCCTCTGTACGGAGGCAAGTATATACAGTACAACATTCTGGGTAATCTCTTTGAAGTCTCCGCCAAGTATGCTCCTCCTATTCACCCAGTCGGTCGCGGTGCTTATGGCATCGTTTGGTATCTCCCTCCCTCTCTCTCTCTCTCTCTCAACTTTTTTGCGTTCATTTTTTACATTGGTTTTGGTCTAGAAGTGGTATCTGTTTGGATTCTGGGAAAAGCAGGGTTATATTTTTGAGCATGAAATTGAAATGTTTGGTTTCAAAATTGAAATGGGAAGGCTTTAGCTTTGTGGGATTTTGCTTTTCTTGGGCCCCAAAAGGATAGAGTTTGGATTCCTATACTGTTGCTGCATGTTTTGATCAATTTTGAGAGGTTTCATGGGGAGTAAGTGTTTTTACTCAATGAGAGGTTAATGTTTTCCATTTGGCAGCTGTGCAACAAACTCTGAGACAAAGGAAGAAGTTGCAATCAAGAAGATTGGGAATGCATTTGACAATAGGATTGATGCGAAGAGGACGCTTCGAGAGAGAACTCCTTTGCCATATGGATCATGACAATGTAAAACCTTTTGCATTCAGTCACATATCACATGTCCAAATTTAGCTAAATGATAACCAAAAATTGAAATTTTTATTGAAGAAGGTTTTGTTGTTAAGAATAGTTGAACTTGCCTGTTAGATTGTTTAACTGTGAATTAGAAATAATTGCATTGTTGTTTTGCAGGTTATCAAAATTAAGGACATCATAAGGCCGGCAGATAGGGAAAAGTTCAATGATGTTTACATTGTGTATGAATTGATGGACACTGACTTGAATCAGATAATAAACTCCGGCCAGGCCTTGATAGATGATCACTGTCAAGTAAGTTGCTTGTTTTTATATTGTGGACATTGTTTTGAAGGAAATCCAGACGTAAACATTAGACATAGGGGAAGGCAGAATGAATATTTGATTACTACTAGTTTTGCTGCAATTATGAAATTTCTTGGTCGTGTTTGGTTATCTCTCCGTCTCCCTCTTGGGATGATATGTAGACTATGTATTGGTCATGTTGTATTCGCAACATATATAGTATGAATTACCTTGTAAGTTCTGTTGAAATAAAAGTTTAGATCATTTAAGTTTTAAGCAAAATATAATGTTTCTGGCAGTATTTCCTGTATCAATTACTGCGAGGATTGAAGTACATACACTCTGCAAATGTTTTGCACCGCGATCTGAAACCAAGCAACCTGCTTCTCAGTGCAAATTGTGACCTTAAGATTTGTGACTTTGGGCTTGCAAGAACTACATCAGAGACAGATTTCATGACAGAATATGTTGTAACTCGTTGGTATCGAGCCCCTGAGTTACTACTCAACTGTTCAGAATACACTGGAGCAATTGATATTTGGTCAGTAGGGTGCATCGTCATGGAGATTCTTAGGAGGGAACCACTGTTTCCCGGTAAAGACTATGTTCAGCAGTTGAGTCTTATAAATGAGGTAAATGCATTTTCCATCGTATTCTATAGCAACTCTTGAACTTGATAGATGTGATTTAGTGGAAGCAGAGTATTGTTTATCGTCGATATTCTTTAGAAGGGATGTCAAAACTAGTTACAAAATTTGGAAGTTTATGCTGTTAACTTTATGATTTTGATGTTTCAATTTCTTGATTGTTCAAATACAGCTCCTAGGTTCACCAGATGAATCAGATCTTGGCTTTTTAAGAAGTGATAATGCTAGGAAGTATGTTAAGCAGCTCCCACATGTCCCGAAGCAACCCTTTGCCGAGAAATTCCCAAATGTCTCGCCACTGGCAATTGATCTTGCAGAAAGAATGCTAGTTTTTGATCCAAGCAAACGTATTACTGGTAAGTCTCTTACTCTTAGCATTTAATAACACTCAATCTGGAATTTTCTCATTCATTTTCAAGGTACTAAACATCTGTCTTTTTCATTTACTATGCATGAAAAGTGGAGGAAGCACTGAATCATCCGTTTTTATCAAGTCTTCACGAGATCAATGAGGAACCTATTTGCCCATCTCCATTCGTCTTTGACTTTGAGCAGGCATCGCTGGATGAAGAAGATATAAAGGAGCTTATATGGAGGGAGTCACTACGCTTCAATCCGGATAATATGTTGGGATAATTTTCTCAACTGTGGCCTGTATTCTCCTTCTGTTGTGTTTTCACTGACCAGCATCGTGTTTGAAGGATGCTTTTGGTAATGGAAGGTTGGTAATGTATCTCATATGTTTGAGATTCTATATGAGAAGGTCAACTAGGGAGATGGGGTTCTCCTTCGCATTGAGAGGATGAAACGACAGTTTGTTAACAAGAGTGGTATCGTTGTGTGAAGCGTCTGTAATCTGGATTCATTCAACCTAAGAATCTAGTAAGAGTTGAGGGTTGGTGTGTAGAAGAGATGGCTTCGTTCTCCCGGCCTTCGTTGGTTTTCGATGTGTTTTTATATTGTAAAATCCAATATGATTCAACAGTTTTAACCAAACGAAAGTGAAAGTAAAGGATATACCAGTTTGTTTTCATCTTTATATTTGTTTGGCTTGGAGTTTTTTATGATAGCCTTTTGAGTAAATTAACATTCCTTTCGGTCCTAATGAAACGTATTACGCTCATCACTAAAACGCAAACGCAATTTATGACGTTCTTGCCACTCCAAAATCAATAGTATTATGGTCTAGTTGTTTTTCTTTTTATTTATAAATGAGAGGTCTTAGGTTCGTATTTCATGAGAAATCTTAGTTTGAATCTCATGATTAGTGAGTTCGATACCAATTCTTTATACTAATGGGGGTGGTCTTCTACCAAAAAAAAAAAAAAAATAGGGGGTGGAGGAGTAGATATGTGGTTCAAATACGTCTTTAGCGAGAATCGAACCTAAGACTTCTAACTTATAAGTGAATAAAATTTCCACTAGACCATAGTACTAAGTGACCTATTCAATTCGGGTTTTAAGTGGCAAAACCTAAATCGAATTGAACTAGGCAAAAATTGATTTTTCGGTTTTTTTTTGTTGGGCTCTGTTTAGTTCACCGGTTTGCTGGTTCATATGTCCACCCCTACTAGCCGAATTTAGATCATTTGCTTGTTTTTTCCCTGCTAGGATCTGTTTTCATTAGGCTTTTTAGCCAAAATGGTCCCTAAGATTTGCATAACACATCACTTTCGTCATTGAGATTGAAAATCAATAGAAATTGTCCCTGAGATTGTCCACCATCCTTTATTTTGGTCCCTGAGATTGTCCACAATGGGCAAGCAATAATGTGATTTAAATTTGCCCTTAGCGAGAATTGAACCTAAGACCTCTCAGTGTCAAATGAAAAGGAATACCACTATACCGTAGTACTAAGTGACCATTTTTTTTGCAATTAAAAAACACCCTAAATAACAATGGCGACAGGATATGATAAATATCAAAGCATAAGTGCGGAAACGGTATATGTCAGAAGTTTTTCCATTCCGTATGGTTAACCAATTGTTATTACATTTATTTTTGGAGAATAGCCATTAATTACATGGATTCCAAGTAATTATTCAAGTTGTTTTAGTCAAGTGGACAAATATATTTTGGCCCAAAAAAAACCCAAGAAAAATTAGAAACCGCCAAGAGCCAAACTATATTTCCAGAAAGAAAATGGAATCCCTTTACGATTTGGAAATCAATTAGTACTGGGGTAGGATTAAGAAATTGGCTCCGTACTATAATATGTGTTTCTACCTCATGTTTTGTTTCACCAAACTCTCTCTTGAGCTCCTTTTGTATGCAAGTATATAGCTCTCTCTTGTCCCATGGATCCCAAGTTTGCACTCTGTATTCTTCTTGTTCTTCTTCTCACTTCACCTCTCTTTATTACCAACACCATGAAAACTGAGGCTGTCCAACCCTACGAAAAAACTAACCAACGCGAGCCATATAATCAATGGTGGTTTGGTATCAGCCGTACTCTCCGACAAAGGGTATCATGCCATTTCACATACCCTAGACATCCTTATTGAGGCTATAAACCCTAACACCACTCTTACCTTCTTTTGCCTCAACTCCATGTACTCACAGCCCCCATTGACACTCCTTAAGTACCATGTTGTGCCATTCAAGGTGGACAAAGATTCGATGGAGGCCTTCTTCCGTCACGGTTCCATGGTTGGCACTCTCCTGCTCGGCCATCCTCTCGTTGTTACTTCCCTACCGGCCGGCACACATGGATATGCTTCTCTTTATTAACACTATGAAATCAATATAATATTAGGGATGAAGAAACTGAAGAGAGAGAGAGAGAGAGAGAGAGAGAGAGAGAGAGAGAGAGAGAGAGAGAGAGAGTTTCTGTTATATTGATTGAGCAAAAAGAATGATTACATCATAATTCTCTAAGTCTCAGAGTTTCTGTTATATTGATTGAGCAAAAAGAATGATTACATCATAATTCTCTAAGTCTCTAAAACAATGTTTATAAAGAGACTATGTTGAACAGATTTACTATTTTACCCTTACAACTAACTCTAATTGTTTTAACTAATCCAAATCTATTTGGTTAATACTCCCCCCTCAAACAAAATTGGGATCTCCTAAGTTGTGTTTGCAATGATGTATCAGTTTGAGTTGGTAGACTGATGAGCTATTACTGCAATGATGAGTTGTTGTAGCTGCTATGTTCTGTGACTGTTGCACTTGAGCTGGTTATTTTCTGTGAACTTTGCTGATTAACACCAGATACTCCAATATGAAGATTATTACAATGATGAATGAACACTGAACTATGTAAACCTTTAGTGAATACATATGCTACCTGTTCATTTGTTGATATGTATTGAACAAGAAGATCCCCCTTTTGAACTTTTTCCCTAACAAAGTGATAATCCGTGTCCAAATGTTTAATCTTTGAATGGAACATTGGATTAGAACACAATGCCAAAGATGAGAGATTATCACAATGCAAGGTAGGGGGTTGTGTAAGAACCTAATGTACATTCTTTAAGTAGAGATCTAATCCAGAATACATATGCAACACAGTGTGCCAAGGCTTTGTACTCGGCTTCTGTGGAACTTCGAGATACTGTTGCTTGTTTCTTTGACTACCACGATATCAGATTTGATCCCAAGTAAACCACGTAACCAGTAATGGATTGCCTGGTGTTGATGTCTACTGCCTAATCAGAATCTGAATAGGCATTGATTTGAAAATCAGAAGAATATATCTCAAACCACAGTTTAATGCACCCTGAAGATACCTCATAATTCTTTTCACCAAATGCATATGGGACTCAGAAGGATTGGTCAATATTGACATTCTACATTGACACACTACATTGACTGAGTGTGCAATATTCAACCTAGTAAATGTGAGGTATTGTAAGGCCCCAACCAAGCTTCTATAGTGTGTAGGATTAGACAGTGGTGTTCCATCAGTTGTAAGCAATTGTGAATGAGCTTTGGAGTTGAGGTTGGTTTACATTGCTCCATACCAGCCTTTTTCAACAACTTTTTAGTGTACTTTGACTGATTCACAAATAAAGACCCATCTGCATTATACTGAATCTAAAGTCCCAAGAAATATGTCAATTTTCCCATATCTTTTAAATCAAACACATCTACAAGATTATCAATAACAGATTGAATATTCTCATCACTAGACCTAGTTAGAATGATGTCATCAACATATAAGAGGAGCAAAATAACATCACTGTCATCCACCTTCACAAACAAACTTGTATCAAACATTGAAGTTTTAAACCCAAGTGCGGGCAAAAAACTTGTAAATTTGGAGTTCCATACTCTTGGAGCTTGTTTCAATCCATATAGGAATTTTACTTCTTGGGGTGGTGTCATATATACTTCTTCTTGGGGTGGACACTTTTGGTCCACAAATCCTTGGGGTGGTGTCATATGTATTCTTCTTCAAGCTCACCATGCAAAAAAAAAAAAAAAACATTTTTAATATCTAACTATCTTAAGGTCTAGTGACATTGTGCTGCTAATGCTAGAATAATTCTCACAATTGAATGTCTAACCACAAGGCTAAAAGTTTCTAAATAATCCAGCTCTTGCTCTTGACTAAAACTTTGTGCCACCAATCGAGCCTTGTACCTTGACACTATCCCATCATGATTCCTTTTCACTTTATAAACCTATTTACTTCCTATAACAGCTCTATCACATGGAGGAGGGACAAGTTTCCATGTACCTTGTGACTTTAGAGCATCATACTCCTCTTGCATAGCTTTTTGCCATTGAGTGATAGCTGATGCAGCTATGAAATTCTTTGATTTTTCTGCCTCATGTATGTTAGCCAGAAATGAAAAATCACAAGGTATATGACTATTGGTATCCTTAATATCACCATCTACGAGCTGAAGGGATGATAATTCAGGCAATGCAGCTAGAAATGATGTGTAATCTCTCCTTATAATAACACCAATCTTAAGTCTAGTTTGGATAGTGTTACTTTGTGACTGAGATTGAGTTTGTGCATGTTGTGAGGACATAGGAAGAATTACTTGAAGTTGGGAAGGATCAAGGACATAAAGCAAGGGAATTGTATGTTAAGATAAGGAAAGAGTGTTTGTGGATGCTTGAGTTTCATATCCATGTGTTCCAGTGCCAGATTGTAATAAAGAATTGCTCATGTTTGGAGAAGAAACTGGTGTATGTGCATCAATATGAATTGCAGAAGATGATGAACCATGTATAATCCCATTACCAAAAGTGGCTCCACAATACATTCTTGATGAACTGTATCTCCATGCTCAGAAGATCTATGTTGCACTAGAATAGGTACCACTATAGTTCTATACTGAGATTGACTTGGAGTGACTATATTTCCTTGAACTTTAGACTTTAACACTGCATAAGGAAACACATTCTCATCAAAGAGAACATGTCTTGAGATAATACATTTCTGATTCTGAACACTGTAACAAATTACACCTTTGTATCCTATGGAGTAACCGAAAAATACACATTGATCAGACCTAAGTTGTAATTTGTGTGTAGAATATGGTCTTAACTAAGGATAGACTGCTGATCCAAATACTCTCAAATTCTTCAACTCGGGATCCTTACCATAGAGTTTCTTGTAAGGTGAAACCATGGACAATACTTTGCAAGGCATTCTATTAATTAAAAACACAGCATGTGCACATACATAATACCAAAAGTCAATTGGTAGTCCAACTTGAGTAAGAAGAGTAATGGTAGTTTCTACTATATGCTTATGTTTTCTTTCAACCACTCCATTATGTTGAGGAGTGTATGGATAAGAAATCATTTGTTCAACACCTTTTGCAGTAAGAAAAGCTTTAAAATAATAACTTGTGTACTCTCCCCACCATCAGATTATATACATTTAATAGTAACACCAAATTGTGTATGAACAAAATTATACACATTTGATTTGTTATACATTGGAAAAATCCAAACATACTATGTATATTGATCAACAAAAGTTACATAGTATTTATACCCCTCTATTGTCTTGACTGGAGAAGGGCCCCATACATCTGAGTGCACCTTTTCAAATGGTGAAGGGTA